ATGTTAATATCTGTAAAAAGAATAATTGTGGTTTTCTAAAGGTATTTTCATTTTACAATATAATTTATCAATTTGCAAGTGTTTTCTATAAGGAAAATTTAAGAGTTTTAATTATAACAAGCTTTTATTTGGGAGCATCTTCTAATACTAGGTATATTAATGTAGAAAAAAGTTACTTCTCCAAATGTGGAGTGCTCCCCTATCCAAATAAAATTATTTTTTAGTTGTAAGGTTAATATAGCTAGTTTGACTTGTGTCATGTTTTGTTTCATGTAAGAAAACATCGTTTTGTCCCATTCTTAATACAGAATATGCTTTGTTTTAAATGTAGTTATAATAGTAACTGAACCCTCACCAATTTATGATAAAAAATCACTGTGAACAGTAGCTAGAAATTTCAAGACAGTCAAAGAAGACTAAAGGCATTTTCCTGGCAGGGGAGCCAAGGGTATTATCTAAACAGCACCCCCTGTTGTATAAATATTAAAGCCACACATGGATGTCATTAAACCAGCTGGTGATTACCCAGAGAGCTTTTAGTAACATTATGAATGCCATTTATAATTGGAGGTGAGAAAAAAGTGAGATGTGTTTTCAATCATTTTAAAGAATGACTCCTGGTTATTCTAGTCTTTTATAAGAAGAGAGAAGCAAAAAATTAAAGTCTATCATTTTAGAGCTGTCCACAGCAGTATTAGGAAATGTCTCTGTAACTGAATATGGTTTGCTTTACATAGTATATATTTTAGAAAGTAAAAATGATTAAGAAATGGCTCTTTTCATCATAACTTTGTATTCAGTAATGATATGATAACACACAGATTGTGAATAACCAGGAGTCTTCAAAGGAGGATCAAAACATATTGGTCCAAGAGATTCAGGAATACTTCTTGGGCAATATGTATTTATAGATGATTAGGAAAGGATACATTGGATTATAAAAGGCAAAAGTCAAAGAGCATGTTACATAGGCAAAGAGCATGTTATATAGGCATGAAGTAGGAGAAATTAGGTGACCAAAATCCAACAGTGGGAAACATTTGTTAACTACTTACTGTGTTTCATATTATGCCAGGTATTGGGAGTGCAAAGATAAATGAGATTCAGTGTGTGCTCTCAAGGAGTGAAACTCATAATTTAGAATTCACTCCATCATAGAAGTGTTAGTTAAAACAGTGAAAGAACTTAAAATACCCGAGGAAGAATGCATGAAGACAAAGAGGTTGTTGCTGGACAAAATTTTTTAGAAATGCTTCCATGTAGAAAACAAATCCAAAAAAGCAGACAGTAGTATTATTGAAAGATAGGTAGAGTTAAGAAGAGGGTCAGTATAGTTCCATGATCTGAAGCTTAAGGGTAAACAAAGGTTTTAATAAGAAGAGGCAATCAGCAATGCCAGATTTACATAGAGGAGTTAAGAATGAGAAAAGTAAAGATTAGTGGATCTAATGATTAGGAAAACTTTAGTCACTTTACAGACAAAATGGAAGGGAGGCTTGAAACTTGGCAGAAATATTAAAGATTCTGAGAAGTGGGGAAGAAGTTGATATATAGGTGTAAGACTTTCCCTTAAAAGGTCACAGAGGAGGGGAGGGGTGACAGGATTGAGAGGAAAGGAGAGACCGGTCAGGAGAGTGGTAGAAAATTAGGAGAGACCAGAGGTCATGCTGAGAAAGAAGGAAATGGAAATGTGGAAATCGGTGGTTAGAGTGAAATTTGAGAATTTAAGATATTGGAGGTGGTAGAATTTTGTGTGATCAAATTCAACATGTGGCCTAAATGGAATCAAGGAGGAACAAAGGGCCAAGTGGTAATTTTTTTTTTTAAGTCAGTAAAGAAGGGTTGGAGAAGTAAAGTGAAAAGAAACTAGGAAACATCTTTGCAAAATTTACATGAAGATTCAAGACAACATCCTGTTTAGATTGAAGGCCTTTGGAATCAGTTGCAGGGATGTGACATCTGCTCTTAATGAGTAGTGAATTGATTCACTCATCAGATATTTATTATGTATATCTATTATGTATTATGTACTCTTTTAGATATTTGGAATCTATTACTTAATTTGTATATGATAGTACCAGTTTATAGTAATGAAATGTTAACTGACTTGTTTTATACATTATAGTGTAAAAAATATTCATACTAATTATGAATATTTTCATAACTCAGGTCAAACCATGAGTTCCTTGAGGTCAAAGACTTTTTTATTCATCCCTGTGTGTCGATGACTAAACGTAGCACCTGATACTTAATAGGTGTGTTCATGAAATGTCTGAATTACTGAATCTGTTGAATAAATATCAGTAGTTCTGGAAGATTTTTAAATGAAATCAGTATCTATGTTTCTTAAAAGGTAGAACAATACTAAAATTATGTATAGTGTTTCAGAGCCTTTTAATAAGAAATATTTTTTGTTTCACTGATTGTAGATTCTTGCTATAAAGGCAAAAATAGTAAAAATTATGAGATGTATTATGAAATTATTCCCTTCTGTGATACAGCTTTACCTATATATACCAGAGAAAGTCTCTAATGTGTATTTTTGACCCTGCATGGTATCGCTCTAGTTCTCAGGTGGCCCTTGGCTCCTTCACTAAATACAAAAGTGAATCTTTTCTCACCAACGAGGAATAGGCCGTATATATTCCATTGTTACTTGGATGCTTTCTGTGCTTTACTTATTTCCTCCATTAAATTTATAAGAAAGAATAACAAAATAGAGTAAGATAGCCTCTTTGTAATGTTGGCAGCCATAGATGTAATTATGTGTACAGGATTATACTTATTTTTTCCCCATTTGAATCCATGGTGAATACACTTACATTTTGTCTGAATTTTCTACTCAGGTCCTTCTAGATGTCACTCTTTTTAGAATTAAAAAAAGAATTTTTTGTTACCAAATTGTGTATGACTGACTAGTTCTTAATTGTTGCTGCAAAAGTGACTTTATTTAAGTATTGCTCATATTTTCTGTCCATGAGTCTCCAAGGTTTAGCTTATTGACTGCTTCACAATAAAATTAATGTTTTGACTATGCATCTAAGAATGCTGCACACTACTAATTTATTAGCTGTTGTAGAGTTATTTCTCAGTTTCTGACCCTTCATAATTTTAATCTCTAATAAATTTTTATATTTTATGTAGCTTTGCATTTATCCCTCAATTTTTTGTATTAAATCACTTCTATATTTATAGCAAATATAATTCAAGAACTGTTATTTTGTAAAATATAAAGGACAAATGATTCTAAAATCCCCAAACTACAGTGAGTGTTCAGTTCAACTTGCTTATCAAGAAAACTGATATAGAAGGAAATGTGACTGATCATAATACGGTGTTAAATAAAACATTTGATTAAGGACACCTGATTCAGGCAGTTGGTTTGGTGAGAATCAGTGATTTTTATATGCAATAACATGTGAGCCTAAATACTGGTTCTTAACAGTACAGGCTCTTTAAAAAAGAAAGAAAGGAAGAAAGGAGCAGGATTTTAGAGAATTTTCTAAAAAAAAAAAACAAAACCACACAGTCTTTCTTGAGGCCTATCACTGGTCTTCAAGATAGTGATATTTGAGTAATGCTTTTTCCCAGTAGCATGCCGTTTGTGTTTAACTCCACTTCAGTGCTAAGGCAGCGTAGAACCCTGGTAAAGCAAAAGCATGAAATTCACAAATTTTCTGTTTAGGCTTTGGTGAACAGAAACAAAGACTGGCTGACTTAGAAAAATACCTCAGTTTGTGTCCTTTCCCTGTTCTCCCCTCTGGCAGTTCCTTTCTGGGCCTGCATCATAACGACCTGGAGAATCTTCCCTGTGAGACCTGGTTACTGTTTTGTTGTAGTGGAGCCTTGACTGTCAATCATAACTTTGTACTTTCTAACTAGCTAATAAAAAGCATACTTATTTTTAACATATTTTAAAATGTACTTCAAACATCTTGTGTTAAAAGTGACAATTGAAATGCAGAGCCAAGTCTGATATAAACAGGTGTTAGTAAGAAAGCCTTATTCTTATTTTAACACAGAGAGCAATACCTTTCCCATGGTGAATTCCTAAAATAGCCTGGAGTGTGGGGTTTGATATTGTTTTTGTAGTATCAAGCCAGGGAAACTTAATTATTTCCTGGAAGCAAAAGGAAGATTCAAAGTATTAACAGATTTTCTGCCAAATCGCTGCAAAGTATACAAAACAGGTCTTGTGTTTGATGGTATAACACTCCCATTTGGGATTATGACACTTAGTGCTAGATTCTGCTTAAGGTATAACTGGAGATTATAAATTCACACATTTGAATTGAGTATAATATGGAGATTGTTAGAATTGAATATGATAGTTCCACCACAAAATGAAAAAAAGATTTTTATATTGATAAATACCTGTGAATGTATTTAGAAATAATCTTAGTATATTCATTAAATCTTTATGTTGTATTATACATTGTGTTATTAGGTTAGAATATAATTCCTTTTTGGTATTAACTCTCATCATCTACAAGGTATTAGAGAACATAGCTTCAATTCTGGCACATGGAAACTGGAAGTACTTTGCCTAGTTGCATGATAATTTGAGAAATGACTTGGTGACAGATTCTGGATGTATTTCATTGGTTTTGAACCTTATGTTAATAAGATGTTTTCATTTTCCTTATGACTGAAGAATTGACAACATATTTAATGTACATATATTAACATGACAAATTTGCCTCACTTCTGCAGGTCAAACTATTGTAATTAGTGAAAATTATTTACTTAAAGCATCATTTCTCAAGTTCAAAGTAAATACAGCTATACCGTTCATTTTAATTACGTTTATTAGAGTACTTTAATGTTTCTAGAAACATATTCTATAGGGCTTAAATAGTAGAAATGCAAAAGAAAAAATGTAAAATAAAATTTTAATATACAAGAAGTTACAGATTTTCTCTTAAGTTGTGAATGCTGAAATCAGATAAATCTGACCTGTTTTTATAGTACAACTTTAAGTGTGTTCTTTTCCCTCCCAGGACATTTATTCAGAGCAGCTGGGGATCAACCGTTTAACCTGTCCACAGTGTCGAGTGCCTTCCCAATGGTCAGCCACCCAGTCTTTGGTCTACATTCAGCCAGCTCAGGGCATTCAGAATTTGGTGGTTTGGGGACACTTGGTACACCCACAGCCTTAGCCGCACATCCCCAACTAGCATCTTTTCCAGGTAAACATCTGTTACAAACTGTTCAAGGAAAGGAGGAAAGCTTGAAAATGTTCAAGCAGTAACTTGTTTATTAAATTGAACAAAAAGAACAGTCTAATGCCTGATATATTAAAACTCTTGTACAAGAATTTGCTCAATCCTATTTATTATGTGCAAAGAAACCCATAGCACATGTACTTGGCGGCATTGCTGTTAATTAGGTACTCAAGTGTTTGGCTAGAGAAATAGGCATCTGCACCAAAATTGAGTAACTAGCTAAGTTTTCCTCTCGCTTTTTATTTAAGTATAATATGCAAAAAGGTGTATGTATTGTTAAGTGTAGTATTTGATAAATTCTTTTTCAGCTTGATTTTGAAAATATACCTTATGTTGGAAAACTAAAGTCCAGTTCTTAAAATGAGTATCTCTGTACTTTCATTTTGAATTTTTACTTCTCTGTACGTTGTCAGGAAGATAAGCTTGGATATTAAATTTCTATATTTTTATATTCAGTCAAAACAACTATAGATTTATACCACAAATGTGGCAGGAAGACCAGAATTATCCTAAATTCTACAGACTATAAGAATTCAGGAGTTTACTAAGACACTAATTAAAGTTTAACTTACACAAACATTCTATTATTCATCTTGTTATATTATTTTGAAAGACTAAACTTTGAGTGTTTCCAGTGATAAATTTTATTTTAATAAATTTTAGTAAGGGATATTAAAAATTAGAACATAACTGTAGACACAAATAAACCCAAATTTAAATCTGCCTTTGCAACATGTTAGCTATGTGACCTTGAACAAGTATCTGACCTCTCAGCCACAGTTTTCTTATCTGAGAAATGAGGATGATAATAATAGTACCTGCTCTTGGGATTCCTGTGCAGATTAAAGGAGATAAGCCATGTTTAACACCGAATGCAGTGATTGGCACATAATTGGTAACTTGTTATTATTTTTCTCTTGCCCACTTTGATGGGTAATAAATTGGCAAGTGCTTATATATATTCATGTGCACATATATAAGCACTTGACTATATATAAACATGCACATATATGTATATATACACACATATATGTATGGTGGGAAGATGGTTAACTGTATATTTCAAGTACTGTTTTTTGAATCATAGTATTCCTTCAGTTCAGTTGTCTAGAGGAGAAGGGATGGTGGGGAGGGGTACTGTAAGTAGAAAGTTAAAGTCTTAAATTACCTTAACATTTGATTTAAAAATACTAATACAAATTTAATTCTGTCAGTTTCTTGAATGGTTGTTTAGTAAGATGAGCATTCAATAGATATTTCCTGAAGTACAGGATTTCTGAATAAAAATCAAAATAGGTGATATGAATATAGATAGTTAACTGATACCTTCATTATGGTTTATTATAGTATTGCTTTGGAGCATTTCTAAACCATAGTGAAATTACCATATTATTAAAATCCATTGTGTTCTGCACTGGAATGATGGTCAATAAGTATGAAGAATTACTCATCTGAACTTCAAAACTGTTGATACTTCCACTGTATAGAAAAAAAATTCCTTTAACCTGTTGTCCATAAACTTTTCACTCACTCATTTATTGTACATAATTCTTTGAGCATTTACTGTGTTCATACACTGGGCCAGGCTCTTAGAAATACACTCACATAGTATATGTCATGTTGTTAATAGTTTTCAGGAGATGGATAAACAGTCACAAGTCACAGTGTTTAATGATAAACGTATGCCTATAGAAGCATACTGTTTGGCCAAATGAATGGAGACTGTGCCTAATTATAGAGGGCTTATTTCAGTTGTAGGTTTGGTATAACAACAAATTTTAATTCTCTCTACTTGGCTTTATTTATTTTTTTTTCCCAAAGTTTATTTCTTGGCTTTATTTACAAGAGTAATCAAAATGCCAAATTTTTGAAATTATCTAATAAGTAAATGAAAACACACAAGGAAGAAAATACTAGGATTTTTAAATGAGTAAGACTTTATTTTTAAGTTTTATGGACATGTAAATTATTCTGTATGTCAGATGATTAAATCAGCAGATGCACTATTTAATGGACCTTAGTATAATAAAAATTATGTTTATTTAATGTTGACATTGTATTTCATTTTAATTTCTTTAAAAATATACACAACTTTTGGTTATTATTTTTCATATTACATTACCATGAATTTTTTGAAGTATCTGGATCTATTGCATATGAAAAATATTTTAATTCTACTATACCTTCTAGATAAGTTGAGATTTAGCATAGCCTCCAAAATATTAGAATCTTTCAATTTAATATTATAAATATTGCTTCTATGCTGTTATATCCTTTCAATATATTTAGAAATTCATCATGTGCTTATTTATGTAATCCTTATTTTATATGTATAGCTTTATAAACATGCTAGTTTGGAAGTGACTAAATTTTTTTATTTTTGTCAATTTGGAAGATAGATAAGCTCTTATTTAACAAAAACTGTATTATTTCCTATGAAATATTAGACATTTTTAAAGTTTGTAGTTGGAAGCCCTACCATTTTTATCTTTTTATTTGGTTGTTCTTATTTACTTGTTTTTATTGCCTGTGGTGTCAGCTTATTCTTTACATGCTTTTTCCAACTGTTTTGTTTCTAGTCTCTATCATGTACTTATTTACCATTGGTATTTTAAAGTACATTTTCCTGTTTTTCCTGAGTTTATGTCTAAAATATTTGAATCTTACTGCATTTTGATTACCTTGTCAATTTGTTGGTTGTTTACAAAGTCTATACATTCAACTGCAATGTTTTAATTATAGACTCTACATTAAATAACACAAATATGCTTGGAAAACCTCAGTCCCCTTATGTCAGCTATGTGGAACCTAGTTTTTAAACCTATAAATAACAATAGATTCCAACTATGCTGATACAAGCCCAAAACACACAGTTTTTCTTCCTGTCTAAATACACTTCTTTCATCTAAACAGTGTATAAATGATTAATGCTTTTGTGTAGTTATTCTTGGTTGAGTTCCCGTCTTTCAGGCACTGCTGAATATACATTGGTGTCGTTTCACTCACAGCACCTTCCTGCAGTGCAAAAGAGCTTTTGCAGTTTTCTGCTTACCCTGTCTTTTAAACCTGTTGGAATGGCAGCCGCCATGAACGTTTCACTTTTTTAAAAAACAGCCTGTTTTTTAAAACATATAATTAGATAATAATTAGATAATTAGTTTGCCATTAGATAATGAAGGTGTACATTGCTTTATATCATATTTTTAATGTAGAGTGAGAAAAGCTTTAAAGACCATATAATATCGTATACTGACAATATTGAAATTTTCCCATGCTATATTATTGTTTTTTTTCTCTCTAATTTCCTTATGGTTGTTAGCATCAATGAAAAATATTGCATATATCTTGGAAGATTAACCTCAAAGGTTATAACTAATTTGATAATCTAGCAGTTTAATTAGTTGGAAAATATCGTTTCTGATATTTTAGAAGGGACAATACAAGGCTTGCCTTTGGATTCTTTTCAGGTCTTAATATTCACCCTTCCTTGAAAAGTATATTCTATAAAACTTGGCTTCTCTTCTTCATTAAAAGTTTTAACTGAGAGCCACAGTTTGAGCATGTAAATTACATTTGATGATTTTCTACATTCAGTCATTTTACAGTTATAAAACAGTGATTGTTATTCATAATTTATGAAAGGAAGTATGACCAAAGTTAAGCTTTTTCATTAAGGGGAGAAACTTTACAAATCTTTTGTTTTAATGTGACTTGTTTTGAAATCTTTGAGCACTTTTTCATTCATAGTACAAAAAAAAGAAAGAAGAAAAAGTCTTAATGATTTTTCTGTTTTTTATGTTTTTGAGTGGAGAACATTTTCCTCCATAAATTCAATTGAGATATACTGGATTACGGTAATTCTTGTTTAAACAATCTTATTTGTCAGAGCCAGATCTATAATGTATTTATTTTGAGGAATTTTAATCATTGGTTGTAGATAGTAATGTTAAATTCTAAGGTATTAAAATAGATCGGTATAATCTTAACTATTTTTCTCTACTATTTTAGAAAATTATGGTACAAGCCATCAAAGAGTCAAATAATTGTTTAATATTCCAGTTTTCCAGTTTATTTTTAAAACCATAGACTACCTTTGTTCTTTATAAACTGGAATCCAGAGAGGCTGCCTAGTGAAGAAGATTCTTGGATACTGTCTTGAGAGTAATGATAAGTGTATAACTTCTAATTAGCAATCCTAAAATTAGAAAGATGATCAGGAAAAAAAGGTGATCAGAATTATGTATAATTAAGCAATTCTGTTCCACATTGAAACTATAAAATTTATTTTTGAAGAATAAAATATAAAAAGCATTGTTACATTGCCTAGAAAGTTCATTCAGATATTTTCACGTGTTTGTTTGGTGCTTGGTTTTGAGGTGCAGAATGGTGGCGAACAACAGATGTTCATACTCGTACAGGGGCAACCTTCTTTCCACCGTTGCTGGGAATTCCACCACTGTTTGCTCCTCCAACCCAGAATCATGATTCTTCTTCATTCCATTCAAGGACTTCAGGAAAAAGTAACCGAAATGGTCCTGAAAAAGGTATCCTGCAGTATTAAAAATCCTACGTTTCACTACCTATTTTCAGTAGAGTTCAACACCACATAAATAACATTGCATTAGACACTTTCACATTGTCTTGCTTAATTCTTATAGTAACTCTTCAAGACTGAAAGTATTTTCATTTTGCAACCAGCATTAAATACCAGGTAGTATTTTTTTTTTGCCACCACAGTTAAATAAGTTATTCGAGGAAGTGTTACTTACAGATTGACATAGCATAGCAGAATTTAAACCCAGGTCTTCTAACTCCAAACTCTACTGCTTTTTCTTTGTATCACATTAGCCTTGTTATATAATTCAATGTAATATTGTACTGTAATTAGGCATTAAGTTTATTAAGACTAATATCCTAGTATTCCTTTTTTCTTTTAAATGATCATTAATATTTCTATAGTTAACAGTTGTTAGGCTATCATTTGCAAATTATAATTGCATTTTAGATGGCTTATTATTATCTTTCTTTTCGCTTGGGTTGGTGTTTAGTGGAGTTTGTTGTGAAAGGATGAATTTTTGCATATAATTGTCCTTTAAACATTTTTAAAAAATTAAAGTGAAAATCACATAAAGTTAGGCATTTTAAAGTGAATAATTCAGTGGCACTTAATGCATTCACATTGTTATACAACCATCACCTCCATGTAGTTTCAAAACATTTCATCACCCCAAAAGGATTTATATGTAATGAATATCTCACAGATTGAATCATACAGTTTGCAGCCTTTGTACATGGCTTCTTTCACTTAGCATTATGTTTTTGAGAATCATCTGCATTGTAGTATATGTCATTACTTCATTCTTTTATATGGTTGAATAAATTCTTTTGTATGAACATCTTTATTTTTATTTTCAAGGTGTAAATGGGTCAATAAATGGTAACAGTACATCATCTGTGTCTGGTATCAACACATCTGTACTGTCCACTGCTGCTTCCAGTTCCGTGGGACAGACTAAAAGTATAAGCTCAGGTGGAGGAAATCGAAAATGTAATCAGGATCAAAACAAAAACCAGCCTTTGGATGCTAGAGCTGACAAAATCAAGGATAAGGTAAGTTACTCTTTGAAGGACAAATTTATAACAGATCTATATGTAGCATTCTGGAAGTCAAACCACCCGAATTTGTGAGATAATTTCTTATGAATTACCAACTTCTATATTTACAGATGTTTGTTTTTATGGCATGGTACTCATGTATCTTAAAAATTGAAACTGTCAGCACGAGTCAATAATACAAATAATAATACTAGCTAAGATTATTGAGAACATACCAGCTCTGCACTACTTGCTTTGTATGTAAAATATATTTCAATCCTCCCTTTCCCCATAATGAGGTAAGTAGCATTATTACAAATGGAGAACACCTCTAAAACAGTTGGCCAGTTAGTGGTCAAGGTTTGACATCAAGCAGGTTGACTTCAGATCCCATGCTTTAGGGAAAAAAACCCTTTATTATGGAAATTTTCAAATATACAGAATAGAATAACATAATAATCTTATGTACCCATTATTCAGGTGCAGTAGCTATCACCGTGTGGACAATTTCATTTCAACTGTACAGATGATCAGTTGAATGCCTCTCAGTTCTAAGTTTATTTTTTGCCAGTTGGCACAATATTAGATATTGTCAGTCAGGGGTCCTGGAGAATCACTGGGAGAAGAAGGGGTTTCTGTTGCTGGTTCCAGTGTTTCTTCCTGCTCTTACGCTGTGGCTGGCACCTGTGTGTAGGAGACTCAGTAGTGCACATCATCCAGCGAGTTTCACTGGCATCCCAGCAGACAGCTCACTATGGTAGGCCCTGCCTTGTCTGCCCATGGTTTCACTTTCTATGGTTTCAGTTCCTTGTGGTCAGTTACCCACCATCTGAAAATATTAAATGGAAAATCCCAGAAATAAATAATTCATAAGTTTTGAATTGTGCTCTGTTCTGAGGAACGTGATGAAATTTGGCACTGTCCTGCTTCATCCCACCCGGGATGTGAATTATCCCTTTGCACAGCATATCGAGGCTGTACTGCTGGCCTGTGAGTCACTGGATAATCATCTCAGCCATCAAATTGACTGTCATGGTATCCCAGTGTTTGTGCTCCATAACTCTTGTTTTACGTATTAATGGTCCCAAAGTGCAAGAGCAGTGATGCTGGCAATTTGGATATGCCGAAGAGAAGCTGTAAAGTGCTTCCTTTTAGTGAAAAGGTGAAAACTCTTGACATAAGAAACTAAAAAAAAAATTATTCTGAGGTTGCTAACATCTATAGTAAAATGGATCTTTTATTCATGAAATTGTGAAGGAAAAATAAATTTGTGCTAGTTCTGCTGTTGCACCTTAAACTGCAAAAATTATGGCCACAATGTGTGATTAAGTGCTTAAATAGAGAAAAGACATTAAATTTGTGGGTGGAAGATATGAACAAAAAACACGTTCCAGTTGACAGCAATGTGTTATACTAGATATCAAGCTTATACAAAGCCTTCAGCGAGGGATCCCCTGAAACAAGTGACAACAACCATTTCTTGCAAGTAAGGGATGGTTACACAGATTCAGGAATAGGGTTGGACTGGAAAATATAAAAAGTACTAGGAAGAGACAGGCCACATTCACATATATAATTGTTCTACTTTATTATTTGTTATTGTTGGTCTCCTACTATGCCTAATTTTCAAGGAGGGACCCAGAAAAATCCAGAATTATTTTCTGGAAGGCAGGCTCCTTGTAGTACAGGTTTCTGTTGCTAGGTGAGTGTTCTAAGAACCCATCTGTATGAGTGTACCAGCTGGCGTTATTGTAAGAGGCTGTGTTCAGCTTCAGTGAATTTTTCTGCAGACTCTTTCCACACATTTGTCTATTTCATGATAGGTGATTTACAAGCACACCTGGCCACACCATGGTGAGTGTTTATCACTTTTTGACCAAAAATGGCACGACTCTCATTCTCCACCCTACCTTATTCACTTGATCTCTCCCCAAGTGACTTTATTTGTTTCCCCGGATGAAAACAGTCATCAAAGGGAAATGTTTTGCCAATGTGGAAGAGGTGAAACCAAAAATGGCAGAAGCACTGAAAAGGTATCAAAATTGACAAGTTCAAAAACTGTTTTGAGCAGTGGAAAAACCTTCTCAGTAGGTGTATTGCATCAGATGGAGAGTACCTTGAAGGTGACTGAAGTTTAAACATGTAAGAGTAAATACACAATTTTTTATAAATAAATTCTGGGTTTTTTGGGTCCCCCCATATATGAATTAACACATTATATGCAGAATTTTCAGTAAGTGCACCCTTATCAGTGAATTTGATCCCATTTTTAGTTTCCACTTGATTGAGAAATCTTGGTTTATTCTGAGTTAAAGGCTTAGCATCAATTGCAAACATTCTGGGAACAAAGATAATAAATAGAGTCATGTCTTCTTCTCATCTACATTTTATGAAAACCACCTTTGGACCTGGCTTTCTGGGTAAAAGCATCAGAAGCGATCCTGCATCACTTTTCCTACCATCTCAGGAATGTCAAGGGGACTGGGAAGCTGTTGACACACTATAGCAAGAAGAGCCAGATATGGGTAACCACTGACAACAAGTAGCATTTATTTGAACTTTAAATCTGAACAACATGCTGCCCAGGCTCTAATATTTAATCCTAAGGAACTATTTTGTCAACTTATCCTTATTCTTCTCCAAGACAGCACAAACTCCATATGTTCTACAAGATCAACAGAACAAAGAAAGATTTTTTTCTTTTGTCCTGTATATTTCATAGAAATACTTCTTCTATACATATTTCATTTCCCTTTCTAACAGAAAATAAATGTTTTCCAGAATATGGCAAGACATATAAGTACCTAGGGGAAGGTCATCTGGTAAAGCCGAGAAACCTCATGGTACCCAGTCATTGAAAACTCACCAGGACTGTACCTAGGCTTCAATACAAACACTCCCTTTGCCCTTTGACAAATGTGATGGACTCTTGGTTATTTCCTTCCAGAGACGGAGGTTTCAGGGTCACATTCTAACTGTTCCTCTTCCCACCCCCCCTCTTGTTCCCTGCTTTCTCTTTTGAATTTTTTATTTTAAATCATTTTTATAATAGTTAATATCAACTGTACCTGAAAAATAAAAATGATTTTCAGGTACAGTTGACATTAAGTATTTTATTGGTTTCAGGTGTACAGCCCAGTGATTTAGCCATTATGTAATTAAGTGATCATCCCAATAAATCACGTACCTTATGACTTACATAGTTATTAGAATATTATTGAGTCTACAGCCATACCACCCTGAGCACATCTGATCTCAGCTGATCTCTGAAGCTAAGCAGAGTTGGGCCCCTTAGGTATGGATGGGAGATTATTATTGACTGTATTCCCTTTACTGTACTTTATATCCCCATGGCTATTCTGTAACAACCAATTTATACTTAATTCCTTCACCTTTTTCACCTCTCCCTCTAACTAACTCCCTTCCCATCTGGCAAACATCAAATAGTTCTCTGTATCTGTGGGTCTGTTTTTTTTCTGCTTGTTAGTTTATTTTGTTTTTTAGATTAAATTGTTGATAGGTATGTATTTATTGATATTTTGTTGTTCATTTTTTATCCTTTTAAAAACTTTTCTTCTTTTTAAAGAAAACCCTTTAACATTTCACGTAATACTGATTTGCTTCACTAGCCCTCTTGTGCAGTTTGAAAAAATGTTCTTCAGCTAATTTTGATAATCCTTCCTGGGGGGTACAAGAAGGATCACACAGCTTTGTACTACTCATTGAAAATCATTGATTAACCCCAGTTCCCCAAAATAATTCATTTTGCATGTATATTTAGAATAAAAGTAGATGCTTTTTTTTAAAGATTGCATTTGTTTTTAGAGAGAGGGGAAGGTAGTGAGAGAGGGAGAAGAACATCCATGTGAGAGAGAAACATCAATTGGTTGCTTCTGGCAGCCAGTTGGGGGGCCTGGCCCACAACCCCCAGTTGGGGGGCCTGGCCCACAACCCAGGTATGTGCTCTGACTGGGAATCAAACCAGGGACCTTTTGGTTTACCAAGGACACCCAACCCCCCTGAGCCACACCAGTCAGGGCAGAATAAAGTTAGATATTTTAAATTAAACAAAATAAGTCACAAATTAAAATATACAAATGTACAGCTCATTGAGAAAAAAATAAAACAATTCAAGGTTGGGTGAGTTCCACTAGTGTTGCCATATAAAGTACAAAGGATTGTTACCACAGCAGCCAAGACAATCTTTTAAAGACATAAGTGGTTTCTGGATTTTAAAACCTCTTATGTTGTCACTTCCTCCAACAGTTTCCTATCCCACTTGAAATAGTTTCCTTGCCATGGCCTATGAGACCCAGTATGATAAGACCCCCCCAGTCCCTCTCTACATATGAGCTATGTCCCTGGTTCCCTGTGCCATGTAGCTGGGATAGTTGACCTCTCCTTCTTCCACACACATCAAACTCCTTTCTTTTGCTGTTTCCTGTCTTGGAAGGTTTTTCTCTTGTTCATCCTTCAAGTCTCAGCAGAGGAAGATCTTGCCTGATAACTGCATCTAAATCTTCATCTCACCCAACCCCCGACATACACTGTCTCTCCAGTTATCCTGTTTTAGTTATGGTATTTATCTCTAAAAACACTGATTTATATTGTTTGTTGATTCTCTGTACCCACATGTCCCACTAGAGCAGATTGCTGTCTCTTTGTCACACCCCTTTATTCCCAGAGACTAGAACAACTATCCTGGGTATATAAAGCCTTGAATATGTGTTTATTTTGTTATTGGGAGAAAGAAATATACAGTGAAATGAAAGTTCAAAGCAAGGGTTCTGAAATGCTTTCCCAGATTGGATGGGGGAGGGTGGATGAATAAGCTCTTCTTTGATCATTTTTTGATGAATCTAAGGCTTATTTTTAAAATGTTTAAATGACATAAAAGAGACACACTACCTAATTATCTACGAATAGAAAAAAAGTACCTACACACACACACACAGCAACTAAGGAGATGAAATTAATGATATTGATATGCATTTTCCTTTTTGGTTTTTTTTTTCCCCTAATCCCTGACTTGTCTGCTTATATCTCGCTCTTTTTAATGGGTTCTAAATTTGTTATTTTGCCCTGGTCGGGTTGCTCAGTTAGTTGAAGTATTGTCATGTACACCAAAAGGTTGTGGGTTTCTGCCCTGATTAGGGAACATACTAGGTTGTAGGTGTGATCCCCAGTCTGGGCACATATGGGAGGCAGCCAATAGATATCTGTGTGTGCGTGTGCATGTGTCTGTCTGTCCTCCCGTCCTCCCTCCCGCTCTCCCTCTCTGTCTCTCCCTCTTTCTCTAAAACCAATAAAACATATCCTCAGGTGAGGATTTTTAAAAAAGAATTGAATTTGTTACTTTATAAAAGCACAGACTTTTGCACACTGTCAAAATACGCTACCCAAACCCACCTGCATCAGAATAACATTAAGGGCTTGTTAATGCAGTTCCCTGTGTGCTGTTTGTAATTGGGACACAGAAATATGCTTGTTGCAGCAAGGTTTGCAAGTGAATACCATGCACCATAAAGCTTTGAGATCCACACTTTAAACCCCTTTCTTGTGGAGTGCAGTCCCTGTTTCTCAGTGCCCTCTTTAAATAAAAACTACACAGATTACTTTGGGCATTAGAATGGGAGTTTATTTCTCCCTGTTAAATCTCTATGGCTCCCATTTCTTTCCTTTCATAGCTAGCCCCTACTTAAGCCCAAAACAATAAGTTCAGTTTAGATTTCTTATGATTTTCATAGTCTTGCTATAGGTGCTTAAAAACCCACAACAGATTTTGATTGCAAGAATGGAGATGTTGCTCTAACAAATGGTATGTTTAATGTTACTATATTACTTTTCTTTCCCTTTAATGTCTGCTTTGGTTCCTCATCATTCTTCATTTTGCTGTGGGAGAAGATAGCTCAGGGAATGATGGTCACTGTTAGTTTATTGAAGGTGTGTCTTTCAAGGAAACATTACATTCAGTAGTTTGGAGCAGCTAACACAGTTCCATAACATAAAAGCAGAATAAAACTATCACAGGTGGGCACAGGTAACCAGGTTCTTGGTGATCGGGACAAAGAATTGAACCAAACACCCAGAGTTTATAACAGAGAACATGGGAGCAGGCCAACTCCAAGCAGAGATTGACCTCATTGGGCTGGAGAGATTCTATTCTTAAAGGGCAGATCCTTCCTGGCTAGTTTTGGTGGGCTTTTATTGCACATGTACAAGTAGTTGTATTGCTTTAAAGCTACTGCACATGTGGTCTCCCATGATTTTCCCCGATTGGCCGCCAGGGAAGAGGGTCCCACAATGCTACCGAATTGACCCCCGTTTCTCCTGGGGTTCCCCTGTACCAGGTTCACCTTTCTGTTCACCAGAGAATTATAGCTCTCCATGTTAGAGATTGGTGAGAAGGAAAGGAGTTATTTATTCAAGTTATACAGACTTAAGAGTAATGATTTAATGTCTTCATTAAAATCCCAAAGTCCCTTAAAACATCCACAAACACACACAGTCCTTCCTTCCCCCTTTTGCCCAGTCTGGGATACCATATCTGAGGAAAAGGAATAGAAGTCCATGGCTCAGGCAGCTCCCGGTTCTTCCCAGTTATCCATGCTTAGCTGGTAGGCCTACCTCGATTCCCAGCACAATCAGCTGTGTTGCCGGGATCTCCAGCTAAAGCTGAATGGTGATTCTTTACTAAAGCCTCGTGGTGATTCTTCTCATGGCTGCAGGGGGTCCCCACTCTACCAAAGGCATGTGGTTCTTTGTCCACTGCCACAGCCCTGTGGCTCTGTCTGCACTGGCTGTGATCCTCCCTTCATTGGCTGCCAAGTCTGGGTTTAAATCCCTGAGCCAATCTCCCTCTGCAGCCCCATTTCCAACTCCTCCTACAATCGGCTACACTTGCCAGCACTCCCATATCCTTCTAGCTTTACTGGGCTCCATCATGAGTCTGCGCAGGGGTGGCCCCTTGTTGTGGAGCCATTCATTTCCAAGCTCTCACACAGGCCCCGTAACTAGGGGGAATTGCCTCCCAGTTACATCTTGGGTGGAAGTCACTCTCTTCTCCCTGGCTAAAAGCATGGCCACAGCTATTTAACATATCTATGCAACCAGTTAAAGGTTATAGATATGTTAAATGACCATGCTAGAGGTTAGCTGCAAAGCTGTTGCTATGCAAAATAGCTCTCAATGGCCCTGCTCCATGTGTCCCTTCCCCCAACCCATACCTGGGGCAGGGCGGGGTATGGGGGGTGGGGGTGGTGAGGACATCCTAAAATCTGGACACCTTGAGTTCTGGACCCCATTACAAATCCTTCTTTTGGGTGCCACCTGGCTGCACCTTCCTACAATTATAGTCCAGCACCAAGAAAGATGTATTTGGCCTGTTATATGTATTATAAGTAATTGATTACTGACTCACTATCTGATAAAGAAAACTAAAGCTAAATAGAGAACTTCAATGTATGTAACCCTTATACTTGGAATTATTATTCTGTAAATTACTCTTTGTATTTTGTAATATACTATATTGAGGCTTCCAGTACTCTGTACATATCACAGCTTGTATATTTCATTAGAGACTTTCTGCTACATAAGTTGGTTTGATTGGTTTGTTGAATAATTACCCTTATAACATGTGGCTTTCCCCTATTTCCTAAAATGACATTTTGAAATTGAAAATATCACTTGAAAATTAAAAGAACCTACCTTTTAGTGAAACTTGAATTTTTTCCAAAATTAAAGTCTTGCTAAAAATCTTGTCTTTATCCAGAAACCAAGGAAGGAAGCTATAGAAAGTTCTAGCAACAGTGATAGTGATTCAGGCACGTCATCAGACACTTCAAGTGAAGGCATTAGTAGTAGTGATTCAGATGACCTAGAAGAAGATGAAGAAGAGGAAGATCAAAGTATTGAAGAAAGTGAAGATGATGATTCTGGTTCAGAGAGTGAAGCACAACATAAAAGTAACAACCAGGTATAAATACTTCCCTTAGCAATATCCACACATTATTCATGTTTTTGGATTAACTTGTTTATACTGATGCTCAAAGTCTATAAAGTTTAATTGTTGCATTTAGTTCTTACTTTTACAAAAGAAGGAATATGAAGTGGAAAAACATTTTTAAAAAGGCAGTTAGTGTATTTCTCCTGAGCTTTATATATCTATCATAATGTTACAGAACAAACAAGGCGGGTCTGGGATGATAAACTATTAGTGAAAGAAGCCCCCAGGTCTGTTATGTCCGCTGCCAGAGGAAAGACATCTCTCAATGCCAGAGATTCGTGAAAAGGAAAGGAAATATTTATTTAATGCTATATAAACTTAAAGTAGTGACCTAATGTCTTTATCAAAAAATCCTAAAGTCCCTTAAAAGACCCCCACAAACAGATACAGTCCTTCCTTCCTTCCCCCTTTGCCCAGTCCAGAGTACCATATCTCAGGAAAGGAAATAGAAGTCCATGGCTCAGGCAGTCCTCTGGTTCTTCCCAGTTAGTACTCCATCTCGACTGGGAGACCTCCCTGGGTTCCCGGCACCCTCCGCTGAGTCACTGGGATCTCTGCTAAAACCAGGTGGTGGTTCCCCTTTCTAAAGCTGCGGGGGTCCCCACTCTGGCAAAGGCACGTGGTCCTCTCTCCCAGGGCCACGGGAGTCTCCACTCTGTCTAGGCCGCGTGGTTCTCTCTCCCAGGGCCACGGGAGTCCCCACTCAGCCAAAACCAAGTGCTTCTCCCCCTGCACAATGGCTGCAAGGGGCAGGGGTCGCCACTCACCGAAGCCAAGTGGTGGTTCTCTGCTAAAGCCGCATGGTGATTCTCTCTCGCAGGGCTGTGGGAGTCCTCACTCTGCTAAAGCTGTGTGGTTCTCTCCCCAATGGCTGTGATCTTCTCTGCACTTCCACAGCCACACGGTTCTCCTCCTCAATGGCTGCCACCTCTGGGTTTAAATCCCTGCGCCAGTCTTCCTCTGCAGCCCCATTTCCAACTCCTCCCACACTCGGCTTCACATGCCAGAACTCATATCCTTCCAGCTTTACTGGACTGCCATCATGAGTCTGGGCAGGTGTGGCTCCATGTCCTGGAGCCAGTGTTCTCCAAGCTCCCACGCAGGCGCTCTAACTCGGGGGACCTGCCCCCTGTCACATCTTGGTGGGGAAGTTACTTCCATTCCCCTGGCTCAGAGCATGGCCACAGCTATTTAACATATCTAAGTGACCAGCCAAAGGCTATAGATATGTTAAATGACCACACCAGAGGTTAGCTGCAAGGCTGTTGCTATGAGAAACAGCTCTCAAAGGCCCTGCTCCATTTGTCCCTTCCCCCAACCCACACCCTGGGGGGGGATGAAGACATCCTAAAATCTCCTAGACACCTTGAGTTCTGGACCCCATTTTAAATGCCCATTTGGGGTCCCCCCTCTTGGCTGCACCCTGTAACAATAAGTCACTAGGAAAACCTTAAATTTCCTTTTATCCTGCTTGGTGTTCTTTGTATTAATAGATGTTAAATTGTTGCCTTTTAACTTTTATTTACAGGTGCTATTACATGGTATTTCAGACCCGAAAGCAGATGGACAGAAAGCAACTGAAAAAGCCCAGGAAAAAAGAATACACCAGCCATTACCTCTTGTGTCTGAATCCCAGACTCACTCATCATTCCAATCCCAGCAGAAGCAGCCTCAGGTTTTGTCACAGCAGCTTCCATTTATTTTCCAAAGCTCTCAGGCAAAGGAGGAATCTGTGAACAAACACACAAGTGTAATACAGTCTACGGGATTGGTGTCCAATGTGAAACCTTTATCTTTGGTAAATCAAGCCAAAAAGGAAACTTACACGAAACTCATAGTTCCTTCTCCTGATGTACTTAAAGCAGGGAATAAAAATACCTCTGAAGAATCTAGTCCTTTGACCAGTGAATTGCGATCTAAACGGGTGAGTTAAAAATTATTTATTGAAAAATTTTATTATTAGTAAAAAGAGCTTTCATATAGTTTTATAATATGCAGATTTAAATTACTTTTATTTTTTTAAGTCACCAGGAAGTAAAATGCATATCAGCAAACTAAATTTCTGTGATTTTATATTTACATGTAGTTCTGCTTAGTATATATTTTGGCAACACAATGATGTCATTCTTCCTCTGATTTAATGATTTATCAGTAAGGGGAGAAGTATGTTCAAAGACATACTTCACAATTACTTTTGTTTAAAATTCAGTGTCCTTTTTTCTAATACCAATATATTTTTAAAGAAATAGATTCTTCAGTAATTTACCTCTGTAGTTCTATAATTTAGCAATTTTAAGTGTAAAAATATTTTATAAAGACTTATTTCCTTTGCTTGCCATACTTAGCAAATTATGAAATACAAAATATTTTAAGTAACTTTTATTTACATGAACACCAGGACCACTTATTAGCATTTATTAGAGACAGTTTTCCAACTTGATTTTCTTAGTATTGATTTTATATCACTATATAGTCTATATCCATATGTTCAGTTGAATTCTAGTGATTAAATGATCAGTACTTTTTATCCTAGAATGAGCGGAGAGGAAAAATATATGTTTGAACACAGTATCCTGTCTTTTGGTTACAAAAATTATTATTATACACGCTAAATATTAACTAACACTGATAGAGCACTTACTGTTTGCTAGGCATTGTTTTAAGTGTTGAACCTGCATTTACTCATTGGATACTAATATCTGTTAGTGCTCTAAGTGTTATTATGACCATTGAGATATATAAACTTTAACTCTCCCAAGATCACACTGCTAGTCAGTCAGAGAACTAGAATTCAGACCCAGGAGTATGGAACTAGAGTGCTTTTTCTTAACCACTATGATATTCTGCCTTTCTCTAAAAGGTCACAATGTTCTAGTCCATTAACTCTTACTTTACTGTGAATACTTTAAAACAGGGTCAAAGAAAAACGACTTGAACAAATCAGGCTTTTTTGAGAATCTAAATGAGTAGTTCTCAAATATAAGTATACATTAGAATCACCTGAGAAACTTAAATAGAAATTCCAACCCAGAACAATTAAATCAGGATCTCTCGTGTTGAGACTAAGGTATTACATGTCTAAAATGCTTCCCAGGTGATTCAAAAGTACAGCCAGATATGGGAACCACTGATCTAAATGGAATGACCAATGGTATAATATTATGCATGTGATAATTTGTAGTGCACTGTTCAATCATAAAATGGTATTATTACTGGCATCATATTATTGACTCTACATGAGTAAATTAAGCAAATGAGAAATTACATTTTGGGTGCTATTTAATTTTTTCCCATTTTCAAATCATTTTTATTTTTCAAAATGCAGTTAACATACATTATTTTATTTTTAGGGATACACTCCAGTGATTAGACATTATATACCTAACTAAGTGATCATCCCAATAAATCTCTCACCCTATGACATACATAGTAATTAGAATATTATTGACTCTATTCTCTATGCTGTACTTTACATCCCCTCACTATTCTGTAACAACCAATTTTTACTTCTTAATCCTTTCACCTTTTTCACATTTCCCCACAACCCCCTCCCACATGGCAGTTGTCAAAATGTTCTCTATGTCTGTGAGTCTTTTTCTGTTCTGCTTGTTCATCTGTTTTGTTTTTTAGATTCAATTATTGATAGATATGTATTTATTGTAATTTTATTATTTGTATTTATCTTTAAGAAATTTTTTTCTCCTTGATTAAGACCCTTTAACATTTCATGTGATACTGGTTTGGTGGTGATAACTTCTTTAGCTTTTCCTTGTCTGGGAAGATCTTTATATGGCCTTTGATTCTGAATGATACCTGTGTTGGGTATAGTAATCTTGGTTGTAGGTCCATGTTTTGCATGAATCTCAATATTTCGTGCCATTCCTCTCTGGTCTGCAAAGTTTCTGTTGAGACATCACCTGACAGTCTTTGTGTGTGTGTGTCTGCATCAATCCTGGAAGTACAGCAATACTAGGTTGATGTGTGGAATGGACCAAGCAAGCTCCTATTCCATTTTCTAATTCCAAAAATCCATTCACTGTATTGTCCTCAGATAGAGGATATATCAGATATTAAACTGATAAGAACAGATCCTACACTTGATCTTAGCCAAAAGGCCAAGAAGCAATCAACTGATGGCCTTATGGGAGGTCCCTTGTAGGTAACTGCTTTCCTCTTGCTGTTTTTAAGATTTTCTCTTTGTCTTTATCCCTTTTCATTTTAAATATGATGTGTCTTAGTGTGGGCCTCTTTGGATTCATTTTGATTGGGACTCTGTGCTTCCTGGACTCATATGTCTATTTCCTTCACCAGCTTAGGGAAGTTTTCTGTCATTTTGTCAAATAGAGTTCCAATTTTTTTTTATACTCTCTCTTCTCCTTCCTGCACCCCCATGATGCAAATGCTGATATGCTTGAAGTTGTCTCAGAAGCTCCTTGTACTATCCTCATTGCTTTAGGTTGCTTTTTCTTTTTGCTGTCCTGATTGGGTGTTTTTTGCTTCCTTATATTCCAAATCCCTGAATGATTCTTGGCTTCATCTACTGTGCTGTTGATTCCCTGTAAATAATTCTTCATTTCAGTTAGTGTGTCCTTCACTTTTGACTGGTCCTTTTTTATATTTTTGAGGTTCTCACTAAGTTCATTGAGCATCCTTATAAGCAGCCTTTTAAACTCTGCATGCAATAGATTGCTTGTCTCCATTTTGTTTAGTTCTTTTTCTGGAGTTTTGTTATTACATTTGGGACATGTTTCTTTATCTCCTCATTCTTGCATCTTCTCTGTGTTTGTTCCTGTATATTAGGTAGAACTGCTACATCTCCCAGGCTTGGTAGCATGACCTAATGTAGTAGGTGTTCTAGTGACACAGCCTCCCCATCACCCAAGCTGGGCACTCGTGGTATACCCCTTGTGTGGGCTATGTATACCTTCCTGTTGTAGATTCACTTCAATTGCTGTTGTCACGTAAGTGGGAGGGATTTATCCCCAGGTCGATTAGCTGTAAGGAATGGCTGTGACCAACAACCTCTGACCATGGTGGAGGATGAGCTATGCAAGGGCCCACCCCCTCTGAGCAGGATTTACTTCAGTGAGGCTCTGGTTCCCACTCAGTCCACCCCTTGAGTGTGTCACCTATGGTGGTGGTGGTTGGGTGGTGATCTTCAGTGTAGTCTTAAGCTATCTGTTGGGTACGATGGCTCTTGGGCCTCCCAGGAGGTGCCAACCAAGGTCAGTTGCCACTTGTTTTCTGCCCACAGCCACCTAGCATAAGCTGTACATTATCTGCAGATGGCTGCTACTTTTGCTGGGCCTGGAGGTGCCCAAACAAGGCCAAGCTATTAACTAAGACCAACTGCTGCTAATGCAAGTCCTGGGGCCACTTAGTGAGAGGTCTGACACACACTGAGGCCAGATGCTGCTTGTTTGAGAGATTTTAGAAAAATCTGAAGCAGGAATCAAGACAGGCCATTTGTATGGAAACACTACTGGAAGCAATTTGGGTGAAGCATGGCCTCAGGGAATCACCAGGGTCAGGCAAGCAGTGTGAGCCAGGTTGATGGAGATTCAGTTATGGTGCTCATCAGCTCGCTCTGTGCAGGGGAAGACTTGGAAAAAGAACAATGGCCTCTGCCAACACCTCTGTCTGGGAGAAAGCTGCTCCTCCATCTCTCACCCTGGAGCTGAACAATTCAGTTTCTCCCCATATGTCCCTGGTGCCTTACAAGCTGCTGCCGTGGTGCTGGAGCTCAAAGGGAGTAAGTCCAAGTAAATCCGTGCATGGGTCCTTTAAGAGGAAGTGCCTCAGACTCCAGAAGCCTGGCTCCCTCAGCCTAAATCTCCACTGCTTATTACAGCCAGAAGTTATGGGAACTTCTCATCCTGATACAAAACACTGGAACCCTGGGATGAGGGGCTTGGTATGTGGCTTGGTATGTGGCAACCCCTTGCTCCTCAAGGTGCCTCTGCAGTGGAGATCTCTCTCCCACTTTTTGTCTATCACATGTGGGTGTGGGATCAGCCTGTTCCATGTGTCTCCCCCTCCTACCAATCTTGATGTGGCTGCTTTAATTCCCCACTTGTAGGACTGTCATTCAGCCAAATTTCAGGTGGTTGTGAATGGTGTTTGTTCAGTAGTTTAGTTGTAATTTTGACGTGGTTGTGGGAGGACGTGAGTGCCTTATTTACCTATGCTGCTATCTTGTCCAGAAATTTTGGGGGTATTTTAATTCTCATTAATATATATTCTACTTTAAGATAAATGAATTTACTGAGTAACATCAAGAAATATTTGCATTATGAAAGGCTTTTTAATTTTCTTCAAAGAATTTCTTATTTAAAGAATTTTATATGACTCCTTATGAGAAAGTCACTTGTTAAATACTTGCTTAATAAATGTAGTCATGCTAGGCTTTCTACATATATGGTCTTATGTAATCCTTATAAAGCTGTGTGAGAAAAAGAAATTAAGTTTCAGAGATGTTAAGCCACTTGCCAACATCACCTAACAACTTAAGAGCAGAAGTGTTTTACACCAAGGGCTGTCTGATTTCAAAGCCCATGATGAAAATGAAATAATTTAGTGTTTCTGAAATAATAGGAGTTAATGGGAAATATTCATGTGAGTGGACATTCACATTAGACTCAACTCTAAAATGACTTTATCTAGTTGCTGTTGGTACCTAGTATTGACTTAAAGGTATTTTATAAATACTTCTATATCAGCTCTTTTTCTTTACATGAATGTCTAATAAAAATAGTTTTGCCTTATCTCTTATGAAAGATTCAATTTTTTTCATGATATTCACTATGTATCTGCTTCTCTCACTAGTCTATGCTTTTCTTAAGTGTTACGTAATCATTAGGTCCTTTCATACTCTTACACTGTGGATATTTAATTCAAATCAATATATTAGGTTGGTCAAAAAGTCCATATGGTTTTTCCATAAAATAAAAGACATATTTTTCCTGTGGTACATTTACACAATGGAATACTACTCAGCAAAAAGAAAGAAGGAACTCCCCCTACCCTTTGCAACAGCATGGATGGAACTGGAGAGCATTTTGCTAAGCCAGGCAGTGAAAAGCCAGAGAATAAGCCAGGCAGTGAAAGACAAATATATGATCTCACCTGCAAGTGAAACCTAATCAACAAAACAAACAAGCAAGCAAAATGCAGAGACATTGAAATAAAGAACAAACTGACAGTAACCAGAGAGGAGGGGGGAGGAGGATAATAGGGAAAGGTCCATGAACGAACATGTATAAAGCACACATGGACAAAGCCAAAGTGGGGTAGCTTCAAGAGTGGGAGGCCATGATGGGGTGAAAACAGAGACAACTGTACTTGAACAGCAATTTAAAAAAAATGAAAAAAAGATGTTTTTCATTTTCACCAATAACTTTTTTGCTATTGTTTAGTTTTTATTTCATAATCATAAACTTAACTCTGCAATCCAGCTCAACTTGGAAGGGTAAGGAAAATATGGAACCCAATGAACTGCAGTGAGAGCATGAAGAGTATAGAACATTCCCAGCAGATGAGGGTGAGGGGTGCTCTCCTGAGCTACAAAAGGAATGGTCTGGTGGGTAAGATAAAACATAATTATACATTATTAGTGTTGTCCATGGTCAGTAATGGTGATGTTTTTGTTGGTCCTGCCATTCCTGGACCCGTAGCACTTCATGGCCATCACAACATCCATGCCATCTTTCACCTGGCCGAATACCACATGCTTGCCACCCAGCCACTCGGTCTTGGCAATGCATATGAAAAACTGGGAACTGTTTGTGCTGAGTCCAGCATTTGCCATGGACAAGATGCCAGGACCTGCGTGCTTCGGGGTGAAATCCTCATCAACAAATTTCTCCCATAGATGGACTTGCCACCTGTGCCATTATGGTGTGTGAAGTCCCCACCCCAGCACATAAGTCCTGGGATACTTCTGTGAAAGAGGGAACCTTTGTAACCAAAACCTTTCTCCCCAGTGCTCAGGGCATGAAAGTTTTATGCTGTCTTTGGAACTTTGTCTGCAAAAAGCTCAAAGGAGATGTGGCCAAAGGGCTGGCTATCAACAGCGATGTCAAAGAACATGGTGGGGTTGACCATGGCTGGGCACTGGAAGATCTGGGGTGGCAGTGGCATCTGCAAGGCCCATTTTCACCAATAACTTTATGGATTTGGATGTTTTGAGTATGGCAACTGTTTTCCACTGTTGTCTTCTAGTGGTAGAGGCCAGGGCTGCTGCTAAACATCTTCTAATGCATAAGACAGCCTCACAGCAAAGAATTATGTGGACAGAATGTCAATAGTACCAAGAAACTCCGCAAACCACTTTTGACACATTCGATCAGTCAGAATACATAAAGCATAAGATGCTGAAAGTGTTGTCTATTTTCTTCCATGTTCAATATTAAAATGTCTACACAAAAATTCACCAATGTTGATAAGCTTTTTCTAAATGCACGCTGATATGACAGCTGTCACAATACAATCTAACAAAATTGTTTCAAATGAAGGTAAAGACAACTAAGCACTACTAGAGCCATCATGTGGAAAGAACTAAATGAACTTTTTGGCCAAACCAATACATTAATTGGATATATAGACCAGGAGTGAATTTTCTTTACCAGTTTTGCCTGGAGGATTTTTTGTCATCTTTAGAATCTCAGGTAGGGGTTGAGGATCAAGGGCTTGGAGACAGAATAGAGAGCTTCAAACCTGTGTCTTCCTGTAGTCCTGTTTATGTTCCACACCCCATATCAGAAATGACAGCATGTTTCCTGTAAAAGAGTAACTGATATTAGTCTGGGATACAAAATGCAGATATCTTTGGTTATTTTTGAAAACTTTCAGATGTCAATATATGGGAAGAGATTCTTCAGAACTATAAAGTAAGGATCAATTTCAGAAAATTAAAAAATAAAATATAAACTTAAGTAATGTGTTTTGTTTTCATGACTGTTTTTGATCCTGTGTAGTTAGAGGAAAAATTACTACCTATAAGAAAAACTACAAAATGATTATGTGACATAATTGTGTTCTAGGAAATGAAAATATACCAAGTTTATCGGCTGAAAATTTAAATTATAATAGCATATATAAATGTGAAGTTTAAGTACTACATATATACATACTTGTATACAGTATGCTATAGCATGCAATATTTGTCATAAATATTAATGAAAATTAAGTATATTAAAGTATTAAGAATCTTGCTATAAAATTACTTTTAAAAGGTAAGTGCAATTATTTGTTATAATTTTCATATTTTATTCAGTGATTAAATATTGATTAAACACTTTCTCTTTTTGAGGTGTTCCCTTAGGTGCAAATATTATGTGATACTCTCTGTTTACAATGAATTATCTTAATAATTTTTTAAATTAATACAGTGAAGATGTTAATATACTAAAGAAACTGGTATAGGAATTGCATGCTGTTAATTAGTACCTGTGTTTAAAATATTTAGTAAGTCATTTTGTATGCCATTTCATCTACATTTATCCTATGAAATGCCCACATAAATCTTTGCTGCCTTGACCAAAACCTGGGTCCTTTTTTTTTAATCCTCACCCAAAGATATGTTAAGAGAGAGGAAGGGTGGAGAGAGAGAAAGACCTCTATATGAGAAAGAAATATCAATATGTTTGTTGCCCCCTTCCCCTGAATACTCCCTGACTGGGGATCAAACCCTCAACCTAGGTATGTGCCCCAACCAGGAATCAAATCCACAATGTTTTGGTGTCTGGAACAACTCTCCAACCAGCTGAGGTATCTGGCAAGGGTTCAAGGCAACAATTTTCATTACAGAATTTTACCTTCTGTTTCTATAACTTAAAATGTTTTAATCATTCTACTTCAGTTTACTTTTGATAATTTTAATTTATTTTAATAAAACTATATGATTTTATTAGTTTCAAGAAGATTCTGTAATTTTTTGTTCCTTCTTTACAGATGTAAATTTTACAGCTTAATGCTTTACAAATTATTAACTTTTCTCAAGGATAATTTTTCTAAACTTTTATTATACTCTTTCCAATGCTAATATGCTGAAGGCACTCTAAAATAGATCCTGCAGAATGCCGAGCCAGCACTTCCATCAGCTTTGCATCATGTGTACTATAGGTTGTACAGGATAGAATATAAGGCGATCAAGATACTCAAAGGGTAGAGGCCATAAGCATCTCTGGCTGGGACAAACATTGAAAGCTTCTTGGGTTAGATTTTGAAGAATGAGCAGCAGTTTGTCAGCTTAATATTTATAAATGGAGGGTATTTTATTCAGAGAAAATAGTTGTAACAAAACATGGCATAGTAAAAGTATGACATGCACAGGGCGTGCCAGGTAGTCTGGTTAGACTAGAACGGTAGGTTAGTGCCTACCTAAAAAGTAATCTGAATATCAGAAGTATTTAGGCTTTATAAAGTTGGCAATGATGGAGGAGGCACTAAAGCTTTTGACTGGGGAGCTAATATATAATATTAGACTTATATTAAGATTTAATTGGTATTAGCGTATAGCATATATTGAGAGTTGATTATGAAGAAGTGATGATATAGCTTAAATTTGAGCAATATTTTAATGAAAGACTCCAAAAGATATAGTAATATGGCTGACTTGAAGCAAAGTAAAGGATGATTTTAGAGCTTCAGTCTTGCATTATTTAGAAAATGGGAGCAATAGGAAAGAGGGGGGGATAATCAGGAAGCATCTTAAGAGGGATAGACTAAGTGAACTTAAATATATTATGTTTAGCCAAGGTTTAGCAACCAGCTAGTCATCACAGGCACTACTTTTATAGCAGTTTTAATCATGATTTAACTTTGTGTATAAGCATGGTTGTCAGATACTGAAGGAAAATAAAAGTAATCTTTGTTCTTACAGTACATTAGTGATTTGTTCTTTTAACTTATGTTTCAACAGGAACAATATAAACAGACATTTCCAGCACAGTTAAAGAAACAGGAGTCATCCAAGAGCCTGAAGAAGGTTATTGCAGCTTTGTCAAATCCAAAAGGAACCTCTAGTTCACCAGCACATCCAAAACCAACATTAGAAAATAACCACCCTAATCCATTCTTAACAAATGCACTTTTAAGTAATCACCAACCAAATGGAGTTATTCAAAGTGTCATTCAAGAAGCTCCTCTAGCACTTACTACCAAAACTAAAATGCAGAGTAAGATAAGTGAAAACATTGCTACTGCAAGTAGTACCCCTTTTTCCTCACCTGTAAATTTGAGTATAGGTGGGAGAAGGACCCCTGGCAGTCAGACAGCTATAATGCCCTCTGCCTCTCCCATACTCCATAGTCAAGGGAAGGAAAAAGCAGTTAGCAATAATGTGAACCCAGTGAAAACACAACATCACTCTCATCCTGCAAAATCTTTAGTGGAACAGTTTAGAGGAACAGATTCAGACATTCCTAGTAGTAAAGATTCTGAAGATTCAAATGAGGATGAAGAGGAAGATGATGAGGAAGAGGATGAAGATGATGAAGATGATGAATCTGATGACAGCCAATCAGGTTATTTTCAATTTTAAAATTTAAAATATTTCAGTAAATGCTACATGAAAGAAAACATTTTAAAGAGGTTCTTAAGTCAGAGCCTTAAAATTGACGTCATTCACTGTTTTACATAGCTGTGTGTGCTTCTGTAGTGAACTAGTGACATATAGGAGTAACTGAAATTGGAAATCCTAAGTAAAATTTTCAGCTTTGTTATTCACTTAACATTAAACAAATAACACTTCAAAGTGAGTATAAATGATGCATGAATTTCATAAAGTTGCTTAATTTTCATTTAATTCAGGGCCACTCATTTCTTCTTTTTTCATCTCTTCTGCTACTTGATAAAATGTGTCACCATCATTCAGAAATACCAAAAACCTAAATCCCTATGAGTGTCTATTAGCAACACAGAATTTATTTAATAACATATAAGCTACTTCTTGATTTTATTTTGATTCACTTTCTGGTTTTCGTGGGGTTTTTTGTTGTTGTTTTTATCTTTTTATTTTTCTGCCCCTTTCCTTCTTGTTCCACAGAGGACTGAAAATATAAGATAGCTTAAATTTTAAATACAAATATGAAACATATATTATCAGAGTTTTTGGGTTTGTTACTAAGTCAGCCACAAATCCATTTGTAAATTTTCTAACTGCCACTGTGAATAGGAAAATATATAGTTAGTTATACAAATTAAAGTGTCTATAAGGTAGAAACAACCTTCTTGCTCAGGGTAGAACAACTTTTTCTGTAATATTTTTCCTGTTGTTCCCATAAAGACAATTTACCTAAAAGACGATGAATGTCAATATTAAACTTTAAAAGACAGCTTTTATAATGACTTTAATGTATATAGATAATACTACACAAAACAGAATTCCACAGAAGCTGTTGTTCTGGAAACCATTAGGATACAGTACAAATATCAGTCTTATGTTTATCAAGTTTAATCCAGGAATAGATTTTACATATCTGTAGGAATGGATGGATTTATAGGGCACATTGATAGAACAAACTTTAATTACTGAGTCATTAAATTACCCCACACAATCATTTCAGTAATTCTAGTCTTTGTGAAACCTGAGAAGCCTGATGGAGTTGTACGTAAAGTAACTGCAGCCGAAAGAGCCAAGACTCTCCTCCAGAGGATTGTTCTCTGTTATTTCAGAGTCCAGATGAAAGCGTGATGGTAGTCCCCATCTCTTCCTCATACTGAACCTAATATAGTTCATAACCTATTGGGATCCATTAATTTAAATAATCAATTCTATTCCCTCCGTACTTTAGTTTTTCCATTAAATTAAAAGTAATTTACAGCCACTAAGCAGAACTCATCATGTGAATACTGTTATATGAGAAAAACTGTTTTATGAGTAAAATTTTGAGTAAAATGAATACTTTTAATGAAGAATTTTGAGGATTTATAGGCTGCATACCCTGTACTCCAATAGCTTACAAGATAGTAATAAAAATTCACTCTTCAGGAAATTGCTCATTTGAGTTCTCATTCACAGATGCTGGTTCCTGAACTATTCCATTTAGGTGCAAACTGAAAACTGTTGTTGATTATCTAGTTATAATATACAAATGCTTCTTTTACTTCCCAGAATCAGATAGTAATTCAGAATCAGATACAGAAGGATCAGAAGAAGATGATGATGATGATAAAGACCAAGATGAATCAGATAGTGATACTGAAGGAGAGAAAACTTCAATGAAACTGAATAAAACAACCTCCTCTGTCAAAAGCCCTTCCATCAGTCTCACAGCTCACTCAACACCTCGTAACCTCCACATAGCAAAAGCCCCAGGCTCTGCTCCTGCTGCCTTATGTTCTGAATCCCAGTCACCTGCTTTTCTTGGCACACCTTCTTCCACACTTACTTCAAGTCCACACTCTGGTACCTACACTTTGTTTTTATTATTGTAAAGTAGAAGGCAAACCATAGCAAGAATTTTTATTTATACAGTGTTCTGAGGATGATCTCATTGGAATCAAGTTACAGTTAGGTTTAGATTGGCTAAGAAACGTCGGCATGTATTTTCAAAGGCTATGACCCATTACCATTTTTATTCTCTGTGCTTGCAATTTTAAAACTCTGCTCAATGACAGCTCTTGATTTTGGATACTTTCCTGCTTCTGTGTTTAGTTTATGCTTCTAGAATTTAGTATTTGGTTGACAGTGGACTTCTTTTGTACTTTATAAAAAGTGAGCTCGCTTGGTTACTTAAGATACAATTGCATATCTGCCCAACACATGGTCAGTGTCATTTGTATTAGTGGGTAGCATTGTTATTCATTAACATACCACATCTTTATTTTTCTATTTGACCTTTTATAAACTGCTAGAGGTCTTTGTTGAAAGTTTTTACATTAATATTCTAAAACTATCCTCTATTCTCATTTTAATAGCTAAGAATATATTGAGGTGTATAGTGAAATACTGTGTTGATATATATATATTTGTGTTTGTGAAACTTGGTTGTCATCTGAAAAATTTTACATGTAATATTATAATTATATCAGATTATACCGATTCCTTTATACCTTAATTAAAAGAATTAGTAGCATTTAAAAACTATGAATTTATATAAACTTAGATATTACATTATTTTTAAATGTATGAGCCAGCTTTTGAAATTTTGAGCATCTTAAAATTCATTTTCAAAGAAAACAACTGTATATAGTTGTCTAAACTTCTATTTCCCTCCTACTATTTTAGACAATTTTAAATAACAAAATGAGAGGAAAGCTATACATTTTTACCTTGGTTTGTATTCTTGTTGGAGAGGAAGACTAGTTTTTGTCATGCAGACCAAAGGAAATAAAAAAGAACCCCTCTACTTTATACAATGTGTTTTGTTGAACCATCTAAAAATAATGTACAAGTTGCAGAACATCACTAATAATCCAAGTCATTAAGATATTTAAAGAGAAGCTTCAAAACTATTTTAAAAGTTGTCATGTGTATAATAAACTGGTCTTTTATGTTAACTGACTGAATTTTCTCAAAGGCACTTCTAAACGAAGAAGAGTAACAGATGAACGTGAACTGCGCATTCCTTTGGAATATGGGTATGGAAAATTAGATTTCTCTTTTTGCTTTTCCCACACATGTTTTTATGTATGCTTGATTTCTCATTCTGTACTATTAATAAAGTGAATATGCAATAAAGTGAGTAATAAAGTAAATATTAATAGTATTTATTAGAGCAGAAGAGATAGGGCAAATAAGATGATTTTTCAGAAAACTGAAATTAAGGCTAACTGCTCTGTTGAGATGTGACAGCTGGGATGGGATCATGCATCCAAGTGGAAATATGACTGAAAAAGAAAGAAGAGCAAATCATCTGGCATAGGGCAGGAACACAGTTAAGAGTGATACAGTTTTTGTGAATATAGAATCAGTGGACAGGGAAAGCCATTGTGAGCAAGACTGAGGAAACTTTACCAGTTTGGCTAACATGGTTTACTTGGGACTGAGAAGTTTCACATGGAAAGTGAATAATTCTCCAAGAACAGGTTTACTTTCCTCTTCTCCCTTAAAGCTTTTCAGATTTAAAAAATCAGAAAACATTGACACATGTTATTGAATATATCTCAATACCAGTTGTGATTTCTAAAAAATTTAATAGTTTAGAATTTGTAACTTGAATCTTTGATTAATTTTTAATTGAATTACTTACCTAAAAATCAAAATAATTTTAATAGTAAATGCATCTGAGATGTGTAATCTGGATTTAATATTTGTTTTCTTTGTGCTTATCATGTTTTCTAAAGAGCATGTATTCTTAAAAGTTGTTTTTAGTTTTTAGGAGTTTTTTAAAATAAGTATGTTACAATTCTCATTTCTGTTATGTGTAGCTGGCAGAGAGAGACAAGAATAAGAAACTTTGGAGGGCGCCTTCAAGGAGAAGTAGCGTATTATGCTCCATGTGGAAAGAAACTTAGGCAGTACCCTGAAGTAATAAAGGTACATACTTTTCACCAAATAACATATATTTGGTGCCTATTATGCATGCTTATGGAAAAAAGGTTCACTCCTTTCTCAGATAAGTTCCTTGATGCAAAATATTCTCTGTATGGGACTAATGTACTTAACCTAAATTGAACTCTTAAAAATCAATAGCCCCTTGATAGAATATGCAAAACAGTAGTGTCCTGAAGATAGCTATACGTCATAGCTGGGTTGTCATTATTAAAACCTGAAGTGGAAAAATATGTGATTTTTTCAGTATCTCAGCAGAAATGGAATAATGGATATCTCAAGGGACAATTTCAGCTTCAGTGCAAAAATAAGAGTGGGTGACTTCTATGAAGCCAGAGATGGACCGCAGGTATCCACTTTTTAAAAAGTATAGTCTTTGAACCAAAAAGTAGTACCATACCTACATGAATTAAATCTCACTACACTCTGTTAGTTAATTGGTATAGCTATTCATATAACTTCATGGTAAACCCTCACTGAGTTCTCAATTTACTGTTTCAGTAGCAAGGAGCTTTGACACAGTAGATGTCTTCTTCAAATTTTTAAGTAAACTTTTTCCTGTTTGTTAATTCTGTTAATAATTTTATAGTTTATACAGGTGTAAAAGTATCTGTATGTTCATGTGAAATATAGAAAAGCATTAGTTCCCTGAAAGGTAAACAAATTTTTTAGAATTAATTTAAATAGGGAAAACATATTGTTTTAAGTCAGACTAAAAGAGGACAAATATGCCTTAGTTTTGGGGAATGATCTTATTATTTTATTATGCCATGCCACATGATCCATTTTCACAATGTAATTTTGAGGGGGGTACAGATTTGCCTAATATTAGGTAAGTAAAATTTCTACTTTCCACAGAAATTGAATTTTTATTTTCTTTATTTTTATTTTATTTTTTAAAAGATTTTACTTATTTATTTTTAGAGAGAGGGGGAGGGAGGGAGAAAGAGAGGAAGATAAACATCATTGTGTGGTTGCCTGTTGATTGTCTCCAACTAGGAACCTGGCCCGCAACCCAAGCATGTGCGCTGACTGGGAATTGGACTGGCGACCCTTTGGTTTTCAGGCCAGCACTCAATCCACTGAGCTACACCAGCCAGGGCAGAAATTGAATTTTTAAATTAATTTTACGCAGTTCTGAAAATATCACCACAACTCCTTTTCAGCTTGAGAGTTGAATATACAACCTCATTAATCAGAACAAAAACCCTACTGGGGGACCTCATTTCCTTTGTTTTGCCTTTGTATCTTACTTGGATACAGCTGCATATCCTCATTATTTTCTTTAACTTTATCAACTCCATTGAAAGAAGTCCTAGTTAAGGAGTGATAGGACCTAGATTCTTGTTAATCCATGAAATGGTTTTGTGATTTCAAACAACAAATAATGTCCTCCTTTCCCTCAACTTCTTTATCTGGAAAATAGAGCCAATAATAATTTTACGTCTATTTCATAGGATTATAGTGAGACTAAAATGAGATAATATGCATGAAAATATTTCAAAGGGTTAAAATGCTCTGCCAATTGAAGTTGATACCTTCTTTCCTGATTGAACATTTCTTTCATTGGCCAAATATAGCTCACAGAAAGAATCTTTTCTGGAAACTGATATTTTTCTACTGTGATTAGGCAGGCTTTTCCATTCTATCTTACCTTCTAGTTTTATAGTTAGAGAAATAGAAAAGACATTCCTCATTCTGCAAGAGGTTTATTTTGAGAGCTCAGAGGTTAAGGGAATTTTCCAAGCTCACACAGGCTCAAACAAGCTGGACATAACTACAACTCAAGGTTTCTAACTGTTTGTTTGCATTCATTGTATATCTTATTTTCCATTGTTTAGTACTCTTTTAAGGAACAAATTATGTCCAAATCTACTTGTCTCTTTGCTGGTAATTCTGAAATGCCAAAATGGATTTATCTGAGGTGTAACATCTTTATGAAAATGTACTCCATATATTTTTAAATTTTTATTTTTAATTAAAAAAGTTTTACTCATCCCTGGCTGGTGTGGCTCAGTGGATTGAGCACCAGCCTGCTAACCAAAGGGTCGCTGGTTCGATTCCCAGTCAGGGCACATGCCTGGGTTGTGGGCCAGGTCCCCAGTAGGGGGGGCCCAAGAGGCAACCACACATTTATGTTTCTCTCCCTCTCTTTGTCCTTCCCTTACCCTCTCTAAAAATAAATAAAATGTTTTTAAAAAAAAAGTTTTACTCAGACTAGCTCTGTCACCTAACAGATTCTCCAAATTTTAGAACCACAGTGGTATTTTACACACTCTGTATATACTGGATCAGTTTCTTCACCACAAAGCATATTGGAAGGCAATAATTATTTTACCTAAAAATTCTTCATGTTTTTAATCTTTTGGTTCTTGTTATCAAATCCTTACTTATTTATGCCAAAGGTAGCATCATGTTTTTCAGACCAATAGATTTTGTTCTGAGAGCAAAGCTAATTACTGTTCAATACATAAAGGATTTTTAGTTTTGTATCAGTGATAGTTAGATTTAATCTCTAAAGCCTCATTGGGCATAGCAGACTATTCTTTGACATCCATTCACTTTTTATTAAACATAATCAGTGTTTTCCAAATGCATATTGTCTTGTTGAGACATCAGTTCCAGTCAAGGAAATACGATGAATTACTAAATCCAGAATATATTAGTTAAGCTGCCAACATTGCAGCAGACTCCTGAGGAAAAATATTAGCAATTTTAAGAGCACTTCTCTCAGTTAAAAAAAATTAGTTGGATTCATTTTAAGATACTTTTAGAGAATATCAGTAAAGGTAAGTAATCCAAAAATTAACTTAATTAGAGGTGATATAGTTGTAGAGACATTCACATTTCTATATATGGTATGATTAATATGTATAAGCATATAGTTAATTAGAAATATATAATTATATAATATCCTATGAAAATGAACAAATGTATATTTTATTAGCGTAGATACGATGTGTAATAATTTTGATTGGCCTACATTTTGTAGAAGATGTAAAATAAAGTCAGTAACAGACGTGTTACCATGCAGTGATTATCTGTATGTGTTCACAATGTGTGTGCCTTCATACAAATTATTTAAGGTTCACAGCTGTGAGTACATTACTCTCATATCATTATTTATTAATTATCGTATTATCTTCCATATGAAAAATGTAAGCATACTTTTGCACCACCCTGTATATATTGAAAACCAAAACTATGCATATTGAAAGATGGGAAAGAAATACCTTAGAAGTTTAATGATGGATGTAATGGTTGGTGGTACAGTGGGTCTTTTTCTTCTTCTCTATTCTTGTGTGTCTTATATTTTCTAAAATTTGCTTGTGTTACATATGTGAAAAACAATTTTTTTATTTTAAAAATACCTCTATCCCTTATAATCCAATAAAGGTTAATATTTCAGCTTTCCCAATTCATGGGGATGATTTTATGTTAATTACTTATTTTTAATCCTCACCCAAGGATTCGTTCATTGATTTTAGAGAGAGAGCAAGGGGGTGGGAGAGAGAGACAGAAAGACAGACATCAATGTGAGAGAGAAACTTTAATTGGTATGCACCCCAATTGGGGATCAAACCCACAATTTAGGCATCTGCTCTGACTGGGGATTGAACCAGCAACCTTTTGGTGCATGGGTCAACACTTCAACCAACTGGGCAACCTGGCCAGGGCTGTGCACAATGATTTTAAATACTACTGCTAGAGTTTTCCAAGCTTCATATATCTTTTTTGAGTGTTTGATGACAAATGAAATGCAATATTTAGAAATTCATTAGTATTCTTTTTTTTTAAAAATCCTCATCCAAGGATATGTTTACTGATTTTTGAGAGAAAAAGAAAGGGAGGGAGGGAGAGAGAGAGATACATCTATACATGTCCTGACTGGGGATTGAATCTGTAACCTAGGTATGTGCCCTGACCAGGAATCAAACCTGTAACACTTTGGTGTATAGGCTGATGCTCCAGCCAACGGAGCCACCCAGCCAGGGCTTCATTAGTATTCTTAATCACTGTCCTAACAAAACATTTGCACTGGAAAATATATTTTCTCCATAATACTTGTCATTCTCTTTATAACGTACCAAAAAACCCCACCAATATTAGTCCTATAAGTTCTAATTTTGTTAAAGGCATTTCAAAAATTGCTATCTCAAACTTTTGTATTTTACAAATGAAATTTAGGAGATGATAATCTCTGCTAGAAGATAATATCTGCAGTAGGTAACCATACTTGTTTTGTATAAGTTAATCAATTTTTACTCAATATATTTGTAAGGTTAAGAAAGTAATTACATATATACTTACAAACAGCAAAAATTTGTTGAAAATACTGGCTAACTTCGTGTTTAGTACAATAATATTAGAAGTAGAGGTATAAGAGCTCATATTTATTGAAATTTAAGTAAATTTATCATTAACTGTAGGACAAAAATCTGATGATTACCTTCAAAGATACTAAATAAAGAGACGCTCTTATTTCAAGTAGATCGATAAGGTTAACCCAAGAAGTGGCGGTGGGACTTTAATCTAGTCGTTACCAGTTTTATTTATTTCAGTCTATAAATGTGACACGTAGAATCCTCTAACTGTCAGTTTCTATTCAGACAGCAAACACTTCCCACCAGCTTCTAAAGAAACCATGATTATAGGGATGATAGACTCCATGGGTCTAGGGATGAAAGGAACTCTGTAGTATTTATAAATCCATGCTTTACTGGTTTGCTACCTGCTACCAAAACTGTTAACTATTTAGCCAGTGAAAAGGGTGTAAGATAAATAGATCTCTTACAGACCTTTTCATCACGTTATAATGAACTTACTTAGCTTAATTTCTATCCTTGTCTTTATTTTGTTTTTTGAGTGTCAGAGTAATAGAAAGTAAGGTCGAGCTAGATTTTTTTTTTGGTAAATGTAAAATAGGGTTACTTTGAATTATGTGAGTATGATACTTAGGTAAAAAAGTAAAAAGTATTCACATTTTATTAGGTATATGAAGGCTTCAAAATAAATTGTTAATGACAAAGATTATCTTGAAATATATGGTAATCTACAATGAAAAATGTTTTCTGTGAATTGTAAAGAAGAAAAACATTTAAACATAAGTATAACAATTATGTTTATTTTTTTCAACCAGGAAGTTCACAAGCATAGAGTAATGAATATCTTCTGTGTTGAGGCTAAAAAAGCAAAGAAAAGGAGAGATACAAACAGGTAGAATTTAAAAGTGATTAAGAAAATATTGCTTCCTCTATTCAAGAATTTTTTTAAAAGTATTTCTATTTAATGGCATAAGGCCATGAGAATAGAAAAATGTCTATAAGTCTTCCTGAAAGAGCCCTTTTT